AGACAGTTGCTTCAAGAGCCTTTATCATTCACCGAATAGAGAGTCCCGACATCGAGGTGACTGGCGCGTCCTGACCTCAGCGGGACAGTACAAAGCTTTAGGAGAAGGTTTACAGACTGATCAACTCTGTAAGCAGAAACTTCGTCAGAGATATCCATGCAGCAACGGCACTGACATGCTGTAATGAGTCCGCCTACGTTCTGAACGTCAAACTTCGTAGCATCGCGACTACCAAAGAATCCGCCCCTGTTTTTCGAAGGTTCTGAGAACATTGAGTCAGAAGGAGGATTTGCCGACATTATGTATTCTCGCATGTATGTCTATAATTGGAAAGGATTCATAGAAGAATGGAGCGGGAGGGGTAAGATGATCGAGCTCTGGCTCACTAATTTCATGTTCACAGCTCCAATAATTCATTAGCCAACTCTCCCTCTCCCTCTCGTAGGTGCCTACTCCTCGCCCCTCCTCTCACTTCTGAATGGCTTACCACCTCATTTAGAGTGGCTGTGTGGCTTCCGTTTGGGAGTTGAAGACTGACCCACTGAGCTTGAATCGAAGAGATAGAGCTGTTTTTTTATATCATCAGGCTGAATCGATTTGAATGATCTTTTATTATTCTTATTTCACTCCCATTCTTTCTCTTATTCTTATTTTTTAAGGATTTCTTAGGATATTCTCCCAGGGGTTCTCAGGCTTTTTTGATTTTTCTCGAGTGATACAATTAATATTCTAGTACGAGCTTGTCGGGCGAAGAAAAGGCGGACTGCTTCTATCGTGGCGGCTTTTACAACTGGTTCGAGCGTGGTCCAAACAGCTCATTCCTTCTACCGGCTTTTCCTGGATTTCAGACTGTTGACGGTAAAAGGTACGGTGATTTCTCTAGCAGGTGGTTATCAAAGGGTTTATGTAGTATGTATTATGAAATTATATTTCGCAGATGCACAGAAGAAGGTCGTTACTGTAAAAGAGGTATTGAATTGGATTATTGGAGCCCTTGCAACGAATCCACTGAGATACATGCAGGCCAAACTTACCATCGCGGTTGTTATTTTGGCAGAGGAGCATTACAGGTTGGTCATTAGGTCCGTTTGTCGTTGACAGTTGCTGTATTCTCTTATTTCCAGCTATCATGGAATTACAACTATGGCTTATTCCAACAGTTTCTACTATCCAGAGGCATAAAAGTCGATCTCATCAATAATCCGAATTTGGTGGGATATTAGGTCATTTTCATGGGTTCTTGAAATGTCGGTGGCTTGGAAGTTTTTGGCTTCAGGTAGTCACCAAGATGGATCCCCCACTTGCGATGTTGGCCAGTCTTTGGTTCTATATGACACCACAACCACCGAAACCGTCAATGCATAGTATCGTGGTAGGTTGGTGTTTTGTCGATAATTTACAAGTTGATTTTTATAAATTTGGATTATACAGTGCAGTGGTTTATTCTACCTTAGGTGACTGGCGACAGTCAGAAAAGAACAGACGTGCAGGATTTGGCGGTCCCATTTTCGGTCCAACCAGTCTTGTGATAAACAATGAATGTGGTGGAGAAGATCCAGAAGAACCAGGTAAGAGTTGAAAATTGACTGTCATTCATATTTTCCTTTATGACGTCTAGTTCCTCCACTCCACGGTTCGGAAAATTCCATTAATGGCCCTTTCCTGAGCAGTTACGTACATATCGAATTTTTTATAATTTTATCTCGGAACCCTTTTTTATTCGAAAATCTAGCAAACATTTTCACCTGCCATTCTCTCTGTACAAACTCCGCCCCTTTTACAACAATTTTCCATCGAAGGTCCGACATGTTTCATTCATTCATTAGGAATGGCTGTACGTGACCCTTCAGATTACTGATGTGAAAATGTTAGGTGTATTAAATCAATAAAATTCATTTTATGTGGACCGGGTGAATCACGACGGATCAAGGCTTTCAAATGGTTCTGCAATTATTTCGAGGTGCCTGCCGGTCCGGAACGATCGCTAAGCTGCAAGGGTTTGTAATCGACAGTTACATGCTTACGATAAATCGTTAATTTTTAACTGTAGAGTTTTGAATTGTCTTCTATTTCCAGGAATGTTGGACAACTTTGACGCCATCCCTCATATGTACTCATGGCAACCAGATTGGGGAAATATGTGGAGGGCTCGGCCGTGCGACTGCGAACCGGCATCATACGGAGGCAAGCAATAAATTCATCCTTCGATCGCCATAGGCTGAACATCCGGAAGAACCCGGATGATGCAAGGCGTGTCGACTTTGACTAAAGTGGTCTAAATTTTATTTTTGTTCTCAAATGTAGCACATGCAGATTTACTGTAGAAAAACCAGCTGTTATCTAACAGCCTACCGCTAAAAAAGCGATATTTTTGGTCGATCTCGACCCACAGAGCATAAATGTGACATGAACCAATGCATTCATCCCCTCTGTACGAGAACTTATTGTACGAGAATTGATTTCTATAGATTAGCCTTTAGGGCTAGGTATCATGTAACCCTGAGTGAATCTGTGTTCGCAGGTCTGATTCCGTTTATGAAGACTATGAGCAATTGGTGTAGGCCCGCCTATTGTGAGCAAACTCCGCCCATGAAAGAGGGCATTTCAAGTGCAGACGTGCTGTTTTCGCTCCATCTTACCGTAGGCGACCAATAATTGGAAGGCCTTCACTTTGGAAAGTTTTAAGTGTTACTTAGTTCTTGCTTGACTTCCAAACCTCACCCTTACCTTTACCTTTACCATATGTATGCAAGATTGATCTCAGGCAAATCAATCAATCAAAACCAGTCGGCTCGCCATCAACATTCATTGAGATTTTTCTCTATATTGATTGCTAACCGGGCCTCTGATTACGTATTTGTCAGGTCCTCTACCTTACTACGATCCAAAACTCTATCCAAGCAAATTCGTCAAAGAAAACGATCGAAATCGTTTGAGATGTGTTTACAGCATTTACGAGAGCCCGAGCACTTTCCGATTAGATGAAGGTAAGGTACCGATAGGGGCAGGATCGGTGCACAGCCGCAATCGAAGAACTGAATGACGTGAGAGTAACCGCCGATTTATTCAGGCAACGCTCCATGTCTCAAGTATAAACCGAAGATCAGCCTTACAAAGACGGGATTCAAGGACTAACGCCTGCCGATCTTCTTCGTAATGCTATTGTATGTATATTTGTGAATTTCTGTATGTTTTATAGTATAATAATAACTGGTCTTCTCTCTTGAAAGTATGTATTGTGCTCCGTGGAGTTTCCTCAGTTTGCTTGTACGCTTCCATCTATAAGTTGAACCTTCAAGGGCATAGATCGCAACATTTTTATGTGCTTTCAATGGGTTATGTAATGAAAAAGTTGGCACGAAATAGTTTGATGGTAGTGAAGAGGGCGACCTTTACTGCCTCCGAAAAGTTGAAGTCTTTGGGCGCTCATCAATCTCATCTGAGGGATGCACCCCGCACTCGACTTCCATTCAGAATGGTTGGGACATATTGATTGCGTATGTGTCCTATACAATGACTTGCGGTGACCAGCCGATGTGCAAGTCAGTGCAATTATCCTCCCAGATGAGTCTGGTATCAATTGACCGACCTCGAAGGAATGAAAGGCTAGGTTGGCCTCGGTGGATAACCCTCTCGGCTTTTACGCCTCCAAATACGAACTTCGCCCACACCAATGAACGCCTTCGAATAAACCTGGCTTGCATAAACCTTCGAATACCTATCAATATAGGAACATTCATTAAGATTACCTACAATTGCTACATAGGATCATTTATTTCTGGAGCAGAACCTCCCTAGAAGCTGTCGACCCGTTGATCATCGATTTCCTCGAGCGGGCGCCAGTAACGTCTCCATTCGTCCTGTCACGAGCCAGAGTGGTCCTGAATCGTTCTCGCTTCAGGGACACGAGGTTCAGCATTCCTTTCGTTCGGTGTTCTCCTAAAGAAGTTTGACCATCTCGTGGCGGCCGTCCTGGAGTTCGTTTGATGTCCCAAGGAATCCAGTCAATGTAGACTATGTAGGGTATAGTATAGCAACGCGATGTTAGTGATGTCACCCCTTCTCTCGAAAGGGGCCTATGGATTCGACAGGTCTAATTGGGAAGTTCTTGGATTATTTTGGCCAGAGGTACCTCGCTTCTCTTGCCCTTACCCTGGTACTAAGATAGAAGTAATCCATGCAAGTCCAGCTCACTTATCGATATCATTATTGTGACAAAAATATGTCTAAAAGTTCTCAATCATTTGAAAAGTAGCCTACTGAGTGGAAAGTTTCACCTCGTTTTCGGATCGGATAAGACTATCCAATCAAAACGTTCTCATACGCTTGGCTTCTTGTCTAGACAGATTTCTTTTGGTTTTGTTTTCAATGTTGAGTTGGAACATCAGAAATATGAAGAGTCAGCTCTAGCCATTGAAAAAGCTAAACTAGCTCAGCCGTACTTTTTTTCTTCGGAAGCACCTACTGCTGCGTAAGGGACACAGAAGGTCTTTTCATGCCTTCATGTAGTATGTTTCACTCAGTGGGAGATGCTTTTTCCGACTTCCCTCCATCTCAACATCATCTCTACCAAATCTCTTTATCATATGGTTCGCAAGGAAATCACCAGTTGTCCTCTTGGTCTCAAAATCAATTGAGCCTCTTCCCATGTCAGCCTTCCGCTATTGCGCTTAGTTGGGGACCAACATCTTCGTGCTTATGAGTTATATATTCCCGAGGCTGAGCTTTACTAAAAATCTTACCTCAACGTCCAACGATGACCATGTTCTTCTTTCGTCTGTCGTCTCAGGGGATCCAATCGATGGCTGCTCTGACGCAGACCACCCGATCAACGTGTTCGCCTGAGCTGATCGTCGACGTCAGGGAATAGGCAAAAAACGTCGGGATTCTTAATTTCCTTCCTCAATCGCGTGTACTGTTTAGTATTGAGTGGTGTCGGTACTCCTGGATCTCTTGACCCATTCTTCCTTCCAGATCCTCCTCCTCGCCTTCGCAACAACTAGGTGCAGTTTCGTTTTGTTCCATGACTTCTTCTTATCATCTGAATGACATCCGTTGCAATAAGTCCAGACCGTCAGTGGAATCAATTCCAGCCCTCATTACCCATCATAACATCGGTTCATATCACATAAAGAACTAATCGGGCTGTCAAACATTTCCTGAATCTTACGTGCTCGATCATCATAGCTGCTTCACCATCTCCGGAGACGAGGTTAATCCCAGGCAATTTCTCCTAATGAGCATTATGTGGGACTACGATTGTGGAGTGCACTCTCGTTCCAGGCAAGCTCCGGGACACCTTTTGAAGTTCGGGCCGCGGCGTGCCTGGCGGGTTCGGCTGGTCACCTGAAGCTTGAATTTGATGAGTATTCAATGCTTCCCTACGCATTTGAAATATATGACGAACTCTCTGCGAGTGC